TAAGTATACGAGTCAGATCTTTAATAATGATAAATAAAAACGAAATGTGTACGTCATAATGTGATATACTAAGTACCTTAACACAAGATTCTGCTGTATTACAGTTAATAGTAACAACTGAGATGTGGCATAGAATAATTATATCACAGCTATAATTATCGCACAATCGTTGACCTCCCCCCCCTTTTTGAAAGCCGCCAAGTCGACACTGCGCCTTCATGCAACTTGCCACGCATTTCCTGTCCGCCCGCCACACTCTTCTGCTTGCCGTCGAGGTTGTCAACATCTCCGTCATTTTGGACCGCGGCCAAAACTCGAGTATTTCCTTTAGTATGTGCTAGGCATCCCTTGTCGCGAATTCTTTGAGAAAAGGAATATACATTTCTTTATCTTGCTCAAGTTTATCTCCGTCAATCGATCTGCCTGTCCCTACCAAAATGGGACTGTGGCAGGTGACGCTTTAGTGCGCTCGACATCTACCGTCACCGTGGAGCAGGTACAAATAGTGGGTGAAGCACACTATGCGAATAGCATAAACATGCGAAACAAATCTGATTGTCTCGGCAAAAGTAACAGCAAATCAAAAGAAATCCAGTCATTTCCGACAGCGAAAACGTATCAGGCTCTCAGTATAGGCTAATTGTAAAAACACACAACGCAATGTAACTGAAACCAATATGGCGATTTTCCGTCTCAACGTAGCCAACGTTGGAATCTAAGGAGACCAAGAAGGTCGCAGAGGACGAACTGAAGGTGAACGAGGCGAAGGCGAGGTGAGCGATAGCGAGCATGGCAAAGGAAGACCCAAGGCGCTCCAGATCCCTTGCCGCTCACTGACTAGGTAATACCCACTTTGGCGGTATTGCCAAATAAGGCTTAACCTTTCAAACAGCGGAATATTTAGTTTTTGACATGAAAAGAATAAGTAAAAAGCATGAAAGGTTGCAATCCGTACTTTTAAAAATAACCTCAAATTTCAGTTTGTTCTCTAAACTCTTTCTCTCTCCATTGGCAATTCCTGTAGCAGAGTCTAAGTAGGATTTTCAATTACTACTCAGCAATGTGTATATTTGCCAACACAAACTCAGCCTTGCCATTACCGATAATTCCAGAATCGGCACATTTTACGATAGAATCAACATTTCCGCGTTCACCGGGAACAAAAGAGTCACTGGACGACTATAGCAACTGCAATGCAATGAGTACGCGCTCAGGTAATCCGGCTAGTGCATCTATTACCCATAAAGGAGTTAGGATAGTCACTGACTGCATCGCATGAAATTACACTTTCACCGACTAACTGGAAAAGCGGATATGGTAATAGATCCCAAATAAATCTACAAAACTATAAAATTACTAATTTCTCATTCGAGTGAGATGATTAATGTCTGAAGATTTGTTTAGTAGCACAAAAAAATCCAAATTAGCAAAAATGTATATGTATACTGTATATGTGTGTATATGTATATAAATATATGTATGTATGTATGTATGTATATATATATATAATGTATAATATAATATATATATATATATATATATATATATATATATAATAAATAAGTATTGCTATTATGTATATATATTGGATATGATATGTATGTGTGTATTGTGTGTGTGTAGTTATAATATCATTATTTTTTATTTTTAATTTTGTTATTTACTTTTTTTTGGACATGTCTGTTCAGTTTTCGAAAGGCAGTTGTTAAATTTTAATACCCAAGAAGAGTGAGAGAGAGAGAGAAGAGGGGGGGGGGGAAGAGGGGGAATAATAATAATATAATAATATATATATATATAATATAGAGAGAGAAGAGAGAGAGAGAGAGGAGGAGAGAGAGAGAGAGGAGAGAGAGAGAGAGAGAGAGAGAGAGAGAGAGAGAGAGAGAAGAGGAGAGAAGAAGAGAGAGAGAGAAGAAGAGAGAGAGAGAGAGAGAGAGAGAGAGAGAGAGGTCAAAATATTAACGTGGGAAATTAATGCCAGTTTTAACACATGCTGACAATACTGTGATCCTTAGTAAGAGTAACATACCGAAATTACTCGATATAAAGACTTGGTTTATTAAATGTAAGCAAGACACTAGTAAAGACCATGAAATAACTTTGCCTATCGCTATGGATCCACGACGACCGAAACTTCACTTCTCTCTATAAATATCTGGTTGTCCTTAACGAGTTAATGGACTTATCAGTAGCGTAAATGTTCCGGATAAGGTAGCGTCTAGAGCTTTAAGACCTCTCCACGCAAAATTTTACATCAGTAATGGCGTAAGTTTCAAAACATTCGTAAATATGCAAATGGTGTCTGGGTAAGTCCTTGTGTACCGCATGCAAATATGTAAACATATGCAAATGAAAAATACAGTATATGTAACTTACTTAAATTGAAAAATAAA